ACCCTCGCGTTCAGCCGGCTCTGCGCTGACCGAGGCGGCCGGGGGAGCGCGGGTCCCACCCGCCTGGAGGCCTCAGGGCCCGGGAAGGCTACCAGGTCCCCGCGGGCCAGGGACGGCACTTCCCGGCCTGGTGCTCTCAGCGTGGCAGAGTTCCTGCTTCTGGAGGAAGGCCACCCTGGACTTGGCGAACGTCTGCCCTGCATTGGTTAGAAACCCTGTCGACTGACTGGTTGTTCTTGGACCTGGGGGTTCGGTTTTCCCAAGGGCTCCATCTTCGGCCGTGCGTAGGGCCACGCGTGGGAGGTGGTGGCCCAGACCCCCGGGCGGCGGGCACATCAGCCTTGGTTTCTTTTCCAGATCAGGACGAAGGTATGCCTGATTGCCTTTCCAAATTCCAAGACCTTGCACAGAATCTCAGAATTGGTACTGTGCGCTTCCCCACCCTCCTCCATCCTGGTAACTTTTTAATAGGTAGAAATGGAGAAAGAACAGAATTCACGAAGAGTTGAGTAACACACGACCAACATGGTAGCTGAGGAACCACCCCCAGACCTGGACACTAATCTCCTTCCTGGCACAGTGTGATTTTTTTCCCTAACGTCTTTATCTGGTTATCATTTATGTGCCATAAAATACATCCATTTAAGATGTACAAGTCAATGATTTTTAGTAAATTTAGAGTTTTACAACCACCAACACAATCCAATTTTAGAATATTTTCATCATCCTCGAAGTGATCCCTCCTGGCCATTGTGCCAGTCAATCCTTTTTCCCACCCCTTGTCCTAGGCAGCCACTGATCTAGTCCCTGTCTCTACAGATTTACCTTTAGGGATATTTTATTCTTTTTTTTAATTTTTTTTTTTTAGTAGGAGTCTTGCTCTGTTGCCCAGGCTGGAGTGCAGTGGCACGCTCATGGCCACCGCAGCCTCTGCCTGCTGGACTCTAGTGATCTCTCTGCCTCAGCCTTCCGAGAAGCTAGAACCACAGGCATGTGCCACCACACCCGGCTAATTTTTTTTTTTTTTGTAGAGACGAAGTCTCGCCTTGTTGCTCAGGCTGGTCTCAAACCCCTGAACTCAGGCAATCCTCTCACCTCCGCCTCCCAGAGTGCTGGGATTACAGGTTTGAGTCACTCTACCGGGCGTAGGGGCATTTTATGTAAGTGGAATTAAACATTGTGGGCCACTGAGCGTAATGTTTTCAAGGTTCACCTGTGTTATATGTGAGTACTTCCCCCATTTTTAATTGTTGGATGGTATTCCCATACCACTTTATATTGAGAAACAAAATACACCACCATCACCTGTAAGCCAAATGGTGCTCTAGTAGTCTTACAGCTATCCTCCTGATTAGAATGAGTTAGTATTTCCACTGGGCAACTGGGGAGTGTTGTTGATCCAATTCCTTCACTCCTTCTGGAGGGAAGGAGGCCAAATAACATTTATGGGCTGGGAGGTTTTTGATGCTTATTTTCACGGCTGCTTTCAGGATTTACTCCCTTCCATGGCAGAGATAATTACCCTTTTCTTAGAAATCAGGTCATCGAGTCACTGCCCCTGATATTTTCCTTGGGAGAAATTTCAAGCCTCAGGACAATTAATGCTGTCTCTTTCATTATTGCTTATTGAATATCCTCAATCAGGGTTGGATAACCTCCTCCAGTCAGGCTGGGCAAATTGTCATAATGCTATATAATTAGGAAGAGTTCACATACTGGAAAAAAAGCTGCCACTCCATAGCTCAGCAGGCAGGTGACCAAATGGCCAAATGGGTACATGCTAGTCAGAGTTCCCACAGGACACGGGCAGCGCTCCTGTGATGTAATTTCACTGACTGATTTGGCAGAGTCAAAACTATGCAGCTATTTCCATGATAGACCCTGAGTCTGTAACCATTGAAAAATAAAGGAAATACCTCATTGAGTTTCATGGTTGTTTACCCAAAGATTCATTCTAATTATTTTGTTTTGAAACATTTAAGAGAGTTACTCTGT